GCCCCGGTCAGCAGGCGCAGAGAATCCCTGGGCGCCTTTAGTGTGTTCCGGCCGAGACCTGCAGGGGGCGCGAGGCGGAGGACCAAGAGGGACTTCCGTTCCTGCCGGTACACCGGTCCCGACCACGGCAGAAGTGCACGAGGTCTGCCGTCATCAGAGCCATGAGCAGCAGGCTGTAAAGATCCAGCGCTAGGAGCGGGCCCGGGCCCCTGTGGGAGACGGGAGAGTATCAGGATGCTGGCCCCAAGCCGCGCTCTCACTGTTGCAGCCTGTGGGTTACAGAGCCCCTGAGAAGCGTGAACCTACACACACACACACACACACACACACACACACACACACACACACACACACACACACACACACACACACACACACCCAGATTCGGGGAGCTCACAGAGCCCCTGAGAAGCGTGAACCTACACACACACACACACACACACACACACACACACACACCCCAGATTCGGGGAGCTCACAGGTACAAGTCATCCATGGACAGACTCAGAATTGAAAAGCCCGACTATAATGCGTGGAATCCACGGACTACAAGATCCTCTCAGTACTGACACCTGTCCCACCCCAACCCGCCACACAACACAGTGTCTCCCTGTTACCCGCTTTCACAGCCCCCTGAACTTTTCCTTCACAGGTTTATAATCATTTATTTACGTGATTTTATGCTTGAGGTCTGTCTCTCCGCTAGTCTGTAAGCTACAAGCCTCCCACCCCAGAAATTAGTAATAGAGCCCCAGATACTGGAACATCCTGTCAGTGTTCCAGTGCTCTGGGGCTGGAGTTCTCACCTGAGGATGGGAGGAGGCGGAAGGGCAGACAGATTGACCTGGTACAAGGCCTGAAATTCAGCCCGGGTGCAGCAGGAGCCCCCCGCAGCCTGCAGGTGGCAGCAGTAGGCTTCCTCCGGAGTATCAGAGAGCCGAGGACAGAAGAAACCCGGGGAGTGACGGCCATCAGCATCCCAGGTGGACTGGCACAAGTGGGGGTAGTGGGCCAATGCTAAAGGGAGGCGCAAGGGGGTAGGAATGATCTACCCACCCCACTCCATCCCTTTTGGAGAGTGAAAGGGATCAGCCATTATCAGAAGGGCAGCCTCTCTTCCAACCCACCAGTTCCCCAGAGCAGCCTATATCCTGTTAAAAGAAGAGGGTACCCGAGGGGGTGGTGGGCAGAGGAGAGCGCTGTACCTGAGAGAGAGGTCGGCTGGGCAAGCGTCATCCAGTTGAAGAACAGCAGTAGCCCTACCAACAGGCTTGTCAGCAGAGGGCCCGGCCTCCTATGGAAGCCCATGGGTGGTCACCTCCACCTCAGCCCTGGTCCTAGAAATCCCAACATTGTTGCTAAGCATAGCTCCAGACAGTAAGGAAATAAAAATCAAAGCCCCAAAGCACCATTAACACAAACCTGAAGCTTCTCTGTCACTGACCTGTAGTGACTGAGATTCTATTTTCTATTGGGAAACAATGGGACTGTGGCTCCAAGCTGCCTAAGGTTCTCTGAGGTGAAGGGGAAAAGGCTCAGAAAACTAGAGGACTGAATGAGGAACGATAGAGAAGTTGAGCCTGAAGAACAGACAAGCATTTAGAACCAGGTATGTTTCTCTCCACCCACTCTCAACTTTCAGGCTGCCGTGGAAGCCCTGGGAATTCTGATTGTTCCATTTCAGGCCCCAGAGACCTCAGTTTCAGCGTTTGGAGATTCCCTCCCTAACTTCTGCATCATGGCAACCACTAAGACTAGGTGAAAACCAAGGGTGAGTGTTTTCGTTAACTTTTCCCCCGAGACTTCATCTGCCCCAGCTACCAGCCAAAGTACAAAAGCTACCAATCGGACTGGAGTATACTTAGCTACCAGCCAACCCCATTTCACAAGGAAAGCTCTCCCAGGGTCACCAGGTCTCTTACCCCTCATACCTCATAGATGCTACCTGATGAGACAGAATTTCTCCACAAGGCCAAAGGCCACCAGCCAGCTGTGCTGTGTTGTCCTAGAGTCTACAGAGGCATCATGCTCCCAGAACAGCAGTGACAATACTTATCACCCCCAGAGGCCCACAGCAGTGCCTAGGGACTGAAATAGGAACCCTTCTGGCACAAGAAATAAATGTAAATTTTGTTCCCAGCACCTGAGAACAAAGAAGACAATTCCTACAGAAACAGCACTGCGGCCTGGGAGCCTAAGTCTGAAACAGTTAGGGAGGGCTCCCAGTGTAGGCTCCAGTTTCCATAAGATCGGGCCCTACGGTCTTCTGACCCCAAATGTGATGCTCCCCTGCCTACAGCAACCAGGCCCATCCTTGCAGGGAGAAATATTTTCAGAGCACTTTAAGAATTTTCAGCGCATCGACAGGTTGAAGATTGTCTTTTTATGGTGAGAGAGGCCCCTCCTGGGGAAACTAGGTGACTTGTCCTTCTTCCAAGTTACCATAGACCCCTGTGCCTTTCTGCCCTGGACACTGTAAGGCCATTGTCTTATTTCTTGTCTGTTTTCCTCCTTTCCCCACGCTGTGGGCTCCCATAGAGCCAGGACATTCTTTTTGCACCCTCAGCACACTGCAGTGAATCAGGGGCTGCGATGATGAAGGCAGCTTCCCACACCCATTGCTCTCACTTCAGCCCCAGAGGAACCCGTCTGGGCCGGACTCCACAATCCTCGGGCCTCCGTGGCGCCAGGGGGCGCTGTGGGCTCTCGGGCCACGCTCCCCGGGCTCCCGGGACCAAAGTTGCCCGCCCCAACCGCGCGATGGGCTCCGAGGTGGCCCAGCTGCTGGAGGCTGCGGACTTCGCTGCTCGCAAGCACCAATGGCAGCGACGGAAAGACCCCGAAGGGACCCCCTACATCAACCACCCTATCGGTGGGCGCGCCGCCGGGGGAGCAAAGGCAGCAGCATCTAGGGGGTGGGGCTCGGGAAGGGAATGCGGAGGGCATGCACCTCATTGAGCACCAAGTACCAAGCTTTGTGCCAGGTGTTTAAGACTCACAGCAACCTGGGGCAGTAGGCATGATTGTTCCCTTTGTACAGCGGACATCCAAAAAATAAGAGACTTGCCCAAGGTCACCCAGCTAGCGAGGGGTCACATCAGGCTCTACAAAACCCATAATACACTGCCCCGGGACTCCCTCCTGTCTCACTTCCTGCTTTACCCCGTCAGGTGTGGCTCGGATCCTGACCCATGAGGCGGGAATCACTGACATTGTGGTGTTACAGGTAACTTTCCTCCTTCTCTGCTAGGAGGCTGGGGTGGGGGTCAGGGGCCCCACTCAGCTCTGGGCACCACTTGGCTGGTGTCACAGGACTGAGTGGAAGCCTGTCCCCAGGCAGCTCTTCTCCATGATACGGTAGAGGACACAGACACCACCCTGGATGAGGTGGAGCTCCACTTTGGGGCTCAAGTGCGGCGTCTGGTGGAGGAGGTGACAGATGATAAGACTCTGCCCAAGCAGGAGAGAAAGCGGCTGCAGGTGGAGCATGCACCTCACAGCAGCCCCGGGGCCAAACTGGTGAAGCTGGCAGACAAGCTGTACAATCTGAGGGACCTGAACCGCTGCACTCCAGAGGGTACGCTCCCACATCTTTTCCGAGGGAAAGGGGAGGCGTGCCCACCTTCTGAAGGCAGAGGTTGATCAGTTTCCCTGAAAAAAAAGCCTGGGTGTTCTTATTAATTCCCTGAACTAATCTTATTAGATCACTCTGATCTTTCCTACAGTAGAAATACAGTACCTGGGCCAAGGGGAAGTCTTCGGGACAAATCCTAACATCAGGAACTCATCTCATGGCCTTGCACCAAGCCCTTTAGGAAAGTGGGCAAAATCCAGTGCTGTCCTGGACATGAACAGTTTCCTGTCCATTCTTATGCAGGATGGTCTGAATACCGAGTCCAGGAATACTTCGAGTGGGCAGCGCAGGTGGTGAAGGGTCTTCAGGGAACAAACCCACAGCTGGAAGAGGCTCTAAAGCAGCTGTTTAAGGAGCGGGGGCTGACACTCTGAGCAGTGCTTGGAGCCATCTGGTGGCACAGACTCCATCCTTGCTCAGACCAGAGAAGATTCATACTCCAGCTTTTGCTTTTCGGTACCTCCCAAGCTCCTTCCCTCGTTAGCTCAGCCCAGATATTAGAGACCAAATACACTTGTCTTTTCTCACTCTGAAGATCCCTTGCCAACTGAACTGAGCCCCAGATTGTAATCTCATGCACCCCATCTATTTCTAATGCATTCACTTCCCTTCTCCAGGTCTTGGGTCTGTTTGCTATTTTGCATTATGGGATCTCTGGCTCCTCAGGGACTTGGGCTTAAAACTGCTGATTTGAAAGTCATTATGCAAAATAAAGTATTTGGATAAAGGTTTGAGTTGCTGTTGCTCCTTCTCCAGCCTCTCCAGTGGGGAGCCAGTAGATGGGATACCTCCCCTTCAGTAGAGCAGGGTTCCAATTATGTGCCCCTGGGACAGGTCCCTCAGGTTGAGGGCCTCAACCCCTCAGAGCCTGGTTTCTTTATCCGTCAGCTGGGTTATGTAATTGTCAGGGGTGGATTATGTAACGTGCCTGATGGAGCCTGACACGTAGGTGCTCAAAAACTGGCAGTCTTCCTCATTAAGAAAGTTAGACAAGTTGACAGATGTATTGGAAAGGAGTGCCAACCAGCTTACTGGTAGCTCTTGCTGAGCATGAGCGAGCCCCCAGCAGCAACATGATAGAGCCAGTGGGGGACTGCGGTTCCCTCATATTCCGGGTGGCAGCTGAAACTTGCTGCAGTTTGCAGCCCACCCCGCCTCACCGTTAGCACTCCTGGGTTGCTAAGCGACAGGAACTTCCGGGTGCCTCGGGAAGTGGCCTGGGAACTGACCCACTCTTGGAGCCAGGCGGTAGGCGGGGTCTGGAAGAGGAGGCGGAGCTTTTCAGCGTGTCCGCCTGGAGGGATCAAGTAATGGATGGGTTTTTGGTCGCCGCTTAGCAGTTAAGGCTTATTAGTCCAAATAAAAAGAATACACTCGGGGTGGGGTGGGGGGATCCGGAGGTTGTTAGGTCAAAGGCGACTTCGGGGTCTCAAGGTGCTTGATGTTTTACAAAACCTTTTCACGTGTGTTACCTCATCTGTTCTTTATAAGAACCAAATGAGATAGGGATTATTGTTTTCATTTATAAATGAAATATGAAGCTCGGAGAGGTGAGAAGACTTGTTAATGATAAATAGATGGAAGAATGACAGAATCAGGACCAGAATCTTTCTTTTTGCCACATTGCTGGGACTTTTTAAGCAGACAAGAATGACCAAAATTGAGGTTAGCTCCAACCATACTGAATACAGTAAAGAGCAAGTATAAAGAAGCTAATGGATCTGGATTACAAGTCTGAGGTCTTCCTGGATAACCTGTTTAATCTGAGCCAATGTAGTGGATTTTTAAAATTCAATACTTTTTAAAAAAAGCAATCAAGAAACTTACGGAAAAGTTGGAAGTACAATGTAACTTTCCCCTGAACCACTTGAGAGTAACTTGTTGACCTGATGCCCTATCACTCCTAAATATTTTAGTATTTGGACAAAGAAATTCTACACAAATCAAACTACAAACATCAACATCAGGAAATTAATGTTAATATGTTACTACTTTAAGTAAATTAATGTTAATACATTACTACCTTAAGTCTGTGATGATAGGAGTCTTCACAGATTACTTGTATGCTTATTTTGGCCTTTGCTTGCCTGGGAACCAAAAGTTTTACTTCTGGCCTAGAATTAGAAGGACAACAGAGAGATTCCTGGCTACCCTGAGGATCTGACTGTCCCTGCTAACAGCTGTTACATTAAAAGTGAAAGCCAAGGATCTGCCAGATTTCTGGGTCTTTTTTCCCTCTCTCCTTAATTCTCACTCACTGTCTCTCCATCTTTATTTTTTTTAATACTATATTTTTTTTTCTGATAATTTTAAATAATTACATTTCCTCATTTACACAAGGAGTTTCTGACTGTTTCCTCTTCCCTGTTCTCTTTAGTCTCTCCTAAAACTATTAAACACTGTGTCACGGCTGCTCGGTCTATCCTCCATCTCTCTTAGCTTCTCATTTTATCTCTGTGATGTGTTCTCGATGATTCCTCAGTTCCATCTTCCAAACCCACAAAGTTTCTATCATTTGCAGCTAGATTAGTGTTTAGCTCATACATATATTTCAATAATTGTAGTTTTGCATTTCCAGGACTTCTAATTTGGGAAATCTGCCCCTTCTCATTTATGTTCTCAGTATAAGGATGAGTATCTTCTTTGAGCCCTTTGATAATTATACACATTTTCAAAGTCTTGTTTTGGACTGCTTGGATTTTGTCATGGTTTTATTTGCAGCCTCTTTTTTCTTGCCTGCACTCCTCACTCAGACAGGCAGGCCCTGGTGTCCTGACATCCCTGCGTTATTCCTGGTTCCCTGTCCTGAGTGTGAGCCGCACGGCCTCAGCTTCCACTGTGGCTGCAGCTGTTCTCTCCATTCCTGGTCAAAGGAGATTTCCTCTTGTCTTGAGTATTACGATGCTTTTATATTTCTAATACTTTATTTAGTATTCCTAGGCATTAGGAGTTGAGGGGGCAGCAGTACAGGTGTGCTTACTCCTCTAGTTTGAATGCAAGTCCCCAGGCATTCCGACAAGGAAACCCCAGTCTTTCCTCCTCTGCCGAGCTGCTCAGGCCTTCTATGCCCGACGCTGTGTCCTACGTCTTCAACCCTGTCACATTCCAAATGCCAGTGAGTCCTTATCCTCAACCCCACATAGGCTCCCTGTGCCTAGATGACCGGATTTCAGAGTTCTTTCAGTTCAGGTTTACTCTTGACTAGGGAGGTCTAAAGTCAGAGCAAACATGGATGGAGACTCTCTGCAAAATCACTTGGTCCCGGCAACTGTTATGATCAAATCAGATTTCCTACTGACCCTAAGTAAAATTGAGGTTTGTTGTGAAGGAACTGGTTTCTTCTCTATCACTTCTATGAAAATTGCCCCTTGAAGTGTTTGTTCTTTGTACATAGCTTTGTTAGGGAAAAACAAAAATTGGTTCAGAGATCTCTCTTTTGGATGGTAAGCCTCATTCCTACCACCCACACTGTGATTTCCTCCCTCTATGAGTGCACAAGTGTCATTAGCTAACTACAGTGACAGGCAGTGTAGTAAGCATGTCAATTTTAGGTAAAGATGCCATTCTCTCCACACAGGTGCTCATGGTTATACCCATCCCCTAGGCAAGCCAAATTGGAGCGCTGTCTGGGCCTGGCCCACCCTGCTCCGGGAGACCCAGCTTTTACATAGTTTGAGTCTGCCTTTCTTCTCATGGTCCCTGCTGGCCATACGGCCCTCCCTTCTTCATGGAAACAGAATGGTTCTAAGCAGATGGAGAGTTGTAGAATGGAATCCTGCCCCTTTACAGTGGTTGAAGTTGCTTCTGTGTTACGCCCTGGTTTCAGTTTTGATTGTAACCCCCAAACCTGTAAGGCCTCAGTGTCAGAACTCTGTGGGAAAGGGTTGCTGCTAGCCTTAAAATAGTCGGCCCATTTCCAAATTACATGTGCAAAAGACTCACCTGGGAGCTTGTTTAAAATGGCAGATTCTTTGGCCCCTATGCCCAGCTATTGGTTCAATAAATTGTGCCAAGGAATCTGCTTTTCCCTCTGTGCACTAAAGGGAGATTTTGTTTCCTGCTCTTTTTACAAGTCAGTCTCTGGGATCCATGGCTCTGCTGCACAGATACCCATTCCAGCACCAAGGCTAAAGGAGCAGCCGTGGTCAGGACAGGCCAGAAAGCTGGGATTTCAATAAGCAATTCTGGTGATTCTGGACCACACCTTGAGCATTGCTGCCTTACATAGTTCTAAAAGGCCAGTTAGGAGTAAACATTTTAGTTCCTGGTAGATGAATAATTTCATTGCACATCTAAGACCTCCAAAGAGAATTAGGCTTTATTCTGCTAATTTCCTAGGGGTTCACAGATTCTTCTATACCATTTGATTATAAATTATATTATACTAGCAAATAACACCTGCTGTAGTGTAACTGTTTAGTGTCCTTTACTAATATGATTGTAGCTTATATCTACTGAGCTCTTAGATGTACCAGGCACTGGGCTAAGCACTTCACACTGATAATCTTCCACTATGATATTGATGTGCCCTGGCCTGGTGCTGCAAGGACCCTGGATGACCTGGAAGAACTCAGCTGGTCACTCTTGAATCTTTAGATGACTGCTGACCAGTCCCCAGTGACTTGCTCTAAGGAGCAAGCTCTTCTCCTGAAGTAACTGTACTCACTGATTTTTTAAGGGCTGCAAATATTTTCTCCCACATCAGTCATTTGTGTTTTAACCTTTATGGCTTCCATCATGTAGAAACTTTCAGTATATTTTTGGTGGTAAAACCTGTTTATCTTCTCCCTTATTATAGCTTTTAAGTTTCACGTTATGTGTAGAAAAGACCTTCCTACACCAGAGGTACAAAAATATCCTGTATTTTTCTCAGTAATTTTGTAGTTTAGTTTTTTGCGTTTTCCCTCTGGAGCTAATTTTTGTGGAAACTGTGAGGTAGAGATCTCTTACTTTAATGGCTAGGCAGTTGTCTTAAAGTAGTATTTATTACATAATCCATCTTTTTCCCACTTAAAATACTCCTTGTGTTCTATACCAAATCCCCTTCCACCTGGGTCTGTTGCTGGGCTGTCCCTTTGGTTCCAGCAGCCTGATCCCACTTCCAGGCCACAATGACTGAACTCATGGTTGATCGAGAGTCCTTTGAGAAGTCCCATGGGACAAGTGCCTCTTACCCACCGCAGCACCACCGCTCTGACACAGTCATTCAGAATTTTCTTAGTATTCTCACACATTTCCTCTTCTAAATGAACTTTAGAACCTATCAAATTCCAAAAAGTATCCAGTCTCACTGGAGTACATGGACTTTATTTGGAAAGAACAGAACTCGTACAGGAATGTGATGTGCATCGTTTGGGTAGACTCAAGGGATGCTCTTAATTCAGCTGATTCTTTTAGGCTGTATAGGTTGGCCATTCTGTCGTCTGCAAATAATGACAGCTGTAACTCTTCCTCCCCTCTTTCATCTGCGCCACTGCAGGGGTTAGCAGTGCCAGAACATGGCTAAATAACAGTATGTCCTTGGCCGGCTTCTGACTTGACGGGGAATGCCAGTGTTGTTTGACTCTTTAGAATGCCAGTGACTGCTGGTTTCAGACAGAGACACCTTTATCTCGATTAGGATGTTTCTTTCTAACCTTAACTTACTAAGAGTTTAATAAGGGATAGATTTTAAATTTTACCCAGTATCATTTCAGCATCTATACAGACTATCATAAATTTTGCTCTATTAACCGAAGCTTTGATGAAGGCTGATAAGTAGCCACAGCGCCTCCTAATTTCATCTACATATTCCTCGTTCCTGCGCTAGGAATCGAATACTCCAGTAGAAGGATGTACGTGGGTGAAGCTTCATGACTGACCATAGGGACGGTGCTGAAAGCCTTCTCAAGTTGCCCACCACACGGGGTCCTAGAGGCTTCACTTTCTTCCCAGGGAAAGGAAATATGCCCAATCAAACATCCCCATGACAGGGAGGAGCTCCTGGGGACAGAGGTGCACAGAGTGCAGGAACCAAAGAGAAGTCAAGTAGGATGAAGAACCTCTGTGCCCCTGCCACCATCCCACAAATCAACAGAGACCGAGATGCCAGTTTGTGATGGGGTTTTGGTACCTGAAGTGTCCTATGACCTCTGGCCATGACGGTCTTCATGAATCCTTCCTGCCACTCTGTAGCCCTGGCCAGGGTGTGCGGGTCAGGGAGAACTTAGAGGGGAGCAGTCACAGAAAGCAGCGATTCCTTCTACTCCTCCACCCCACTGCTAACTCTCGGTCCCCTTCCCCGCCTCCTGGCATCACTCTGCTCCTGCTCATCACACCAGGACCTGTGGTCTTTATATAACCACAGGACTCCCCTAGAGCCAGCTCTCGCCTACGGGGACCCTGATGCTGGGCTGTTACCCACTTGACCTCCCCTGCTTCTCCTCCATCCCATTTGGGGGAAAGGACAGGTGTTTGAGCCTGTGCACAACTAGGTGGATATACTCATAACCCAAAGCAAGGCCGGCACCGCTCGCTCTGACCAAGGGCCTTCCCTCCTGCATCTCGCTGGCGTCTGCCCCACCCACCCAACAGTGGGCTTATGGGTTGCTCCCAAACACAGAAGCCACAATAAACAGAAAATGAGGGCAGAGCCCAGTCTGTCACAGTTCTGAGAGGTAGATCGGGACAGGATACCCAGTGTGGCTCGTCCACCCCGACCTCATGTGAGGAGGCAGTCTCTGTGGATGAACGTTCTCTTCAGGCCACAAGAAGCCCTAGCCCAAGCGGAGGCGAAAGGTGGCTATCTCCATGGGCTCCAAATAGATGTCAGTGCCGTTGGAGGGTGAGGCCAGGGGGTACAGCAACGTCAGGGAGGTTGGCTGCAGGAAAACCACATCCAGGCCATGGAAAAGGCTCCCCAGGGCCACCTGTGGGGAGGACAGAAGGTGCAGGGCAGTGCTGGGCGCTGAAACACTTGATGGTGACGCTCTTCCTCTACGTAACCTGTGTGAACCTCACAGAAGCTACGGGCCCTCTCCGCAGCAAGGTGCCCACACACACACACGTGAGTTCACTCAACCCAGAAGCCTATCTGTGGACCTTAGGATAGGAACTGTGGCACTCACTGGGAGCTCCTTGAGGACAGGGACCATATCTTGATTCACTTGAGTCACTGGCACCCAGCGCACGGAGGCATTTATCAGTGCTAGCGTTTGCTGGCTTAAACAATGAATAGAGCTTACAAGGTAACAGCATAAAAACCAGGTAAAAACCTTTGGTTTTTAATTTCTGGTGTTTCCACTTGTTTGACAGAAGTACCTACTCATGGAACCGAAGTTCTCCACCTGTATGCTGCGTCTGGAACTGGCCCCTGCCAGGCCTCAGAGGCTTTGAAAACAAATGTTGACAGCTTCTTCATTCTCTCCATAAGGCCCCAGAGTAACCTCCTCGCTGCAGCGTCACCAAGCTCGCTTAGCCTGCCATCCCCAGGTGCTCCGTTTCCCTGCCCTCCTCTCATCAGGGGCTCCCTTCCCACACCTGGGGCCTGCTCACCTTGCCTTGGCTTGTGGTGCAGTTGAAGCCCAAGTTCTTGGCCTCAAGGCCACAGTCAAAACCCTTGCGGTGTAAGATGAGTGCAGTTTCTGCCGAGGGCAGGCTGTCGTCCTGGATGACAGACACATGAAGGGCAGTGGGGGCAGGGTGTCTCTGCAGGGCTCACAGGTGCAGCAGCACCTCTGCCCAGAAGGCAGGACTGGGACAGGGAGGAGCCCGGGGGACGAAAGGCCAGGATTTGGTCCCGGAGGTACAGCGCCCAGCAGGATACTCACCTCAGCCTGCAGTGTACGCAGGTTGAGCAGGTGAAAGTCACAGGGCACTGAGGAGGCCAGAGGATGAAATGAGCGCAGAGCAGGGCCTGGGAGCTGCCTCTTGGCCACGGGCAGGGCAAGCACAGGGGTGTTCAGGTACATGGAGGTCAGGTGGCTGAGGAGGGACGGGTAGCTGGTAGACAGGCCATCTTGGACCTGAAAGATTGGCCAGAGATGTGGGTGAGGACATGGAGCCGGGAGAAGGTGAGGGTGAGGATAAAAGCACATCCAGGTCAGTTCCTTTGGAAGGAACCTCTCTGATGTGTCCGGATACAGGGGTGCCTGACCCCAGGACCCTTTAAGTACGGTCACTTCCCATCTCAAATGACTGAGAAAGGGCTACTTCACTGGCCATTTCTCCTCTAACTCTGTTGGGTTTTGCTTCCATAACACTATCATGAGCAACACACTCCCATCAGCAGTGTCTCTATCACACAGAAATTCTCAGTGCAGGGAGGAAGATGGAAAAAAAGACAGACAGATGCTTCATCATGGAAGATGGGCCTCTGATGGAGAAAGTCCTCAGGGCAACCCCGTGGTTTCAAACATGACTCTGGATCCACAGCACCAGCCCTGATTCTTGGGCCCCAGGGTCCCCACAGCTGTGCCGCCTGAGGATGACATGTTAGATGGCTGACCTGACATCACACTCACAGGCCTAAGCTGAACTTTCTTCCATGGCAGCTACTCTTCCACATTCTGGATTTCTGTCCCTAGCGCCACCCTCCTTCCTGTTGTCCATAATCTCTCATTTCCCTCAGCCACGATCTCCATTCCCACTGAGCAGTGTCCTCACAAACATCCCCAGCTTCTACCTCCCAAAGCTTAGTTCAAGTCACCAACATTTCCTGCTTGAATAGCCTTTAACCTGTCACATCTGCTCCCGTCTCCCTGAAGATCCACCCTACTCCCTGCTGTTGGACTGAATTGCTTACGGCAGAGTCCCAACAGTGTCCCTCCCAGCTCAGATCCTTCACTGGCCTCTAGGAGGAAATCCATACTCTTCACCAGGCATTCGAGGCCCACTACTGTCTGCCCCAACCTACCCACCGATGGCAGCCCAGCACTGGCCACTAGAGCTCCCTACAATCATGGAAATATCCTATATCTGCACTAACACAGTAGATACCACATGTGGCTATCGAGCACCCGAAGTGTAGCTAGTTTAAATGAAGAACTGAATTTGTTATTGTATTTAGTTTTAATATGGTTAAATAGCCACTTGTGGCTAGTGGTTATCACAGTGGACAGGCAGCTCTAGTCTAGCTGAATGAACTCATGGCCATTCCCCGCTCACACTGTCTTTCCTGCCTCCTATCCTGTGCCTTGGTTCAAGTGTGTAGGGCAGACTCCCATTCATCGATGATGCGAATGGATGACACCTCCTCCAGGAAGCTGTCCTTGATCCCCTTGGCCCACTACGTTCTCAGGACCAGTGGATGCACCCATTTTCTACCTTATATTTTCACACACATAGCTTGTCCCCAACCCCTACTCACGAGAGGATTCCCAGAGAGCAGAGTTAATATCTTATGCATTTGTGTCCCTCTCAGTCCTTACAGCACAGCAGCTATTTGATGAGTGACTGAGCCCCAGACGTGGGACACTGAGCAGCAGACTCTGCCATCCACAGGCTCCAACTCTGGCTACGAATCGCTAACGCTAGTTCAGCACCCCATTGCTGGCCCTTACCTCTTGGTTCCTGCTCCTGCTGTTGTGAAAGATCAAGCCCCTAAGCATGGCTGCCAGTTTGGAGAAAAAGCCAGGCTGGTGGGGGCAAAGAAAGCCATGAGATGAGCTGGGTAGGAGCAGAAAGGGTTAGAGGACATGGGGTTGGGAAGGCGGGAGATGAGCATGAGGAGGGCACAGGCGACAGGGTGACAGGGTGCTGTGGGAGAGGGGCGCTCCGTGAGATGCAGCAGCACAGCGCAGACACACTCCCCGCCGCCCCGGGGAGCAGGCCCTACTCTCACTGTCCCTTGCCCACCTCCAGTACGTTCCTCAAGCCCAGACTGGAACCCCAGGGCCACCCAAGGAGCCTAGCCTGACCTGGCTCCCTTAGGGGAGGCCCAGAACTTACCTCCCTGCCCGTGGTTCGCCGTTCCAACAGGAGACGGAAGTGGTTGCAAGTTCTCTTGTTGTCCTTGAGCCCCTGGCCCAGGCCCCGGTTGTCGTCCTGCATTAGTCGCCGGTCCAAGATCACCTCCAGCTGGCCTGGGGAAGTTAACTGTGAGCCCCTAGCCTGCCTCCCTCACCCCCAGATACCAACCTCTGGAAGAAGAACCCCAACCACAGGCCCGAGGGGAAAGCTCAGGGAGCTGGCTGGAAGCTGAGTCCTTCAGGGGACAAAGCAGCTGTGGAACCTGGAGCTGGAAGGGGCTTAGTGCCAGACTGGTTTCACAGGGGAGGAAACAAGAGCCCAGAGCAGGCAGCCTGACCCTGGCAGTTAACCACCTGTGCTCTGTGGCTCAGGAGTAGGGCTGGCCTGGGTGCCCAGGCAGGGAGCCGTCTGTAGACTGGCTGCATGAAATGAAGTAAACAGCAAACACAAAACCCCATCATCAGCCAACAGCAGCTGCTGCAGGGGCCCTGGCCTGGGGCAGGTTTTCTCAGGGTGGGCAGATTTTGTTGGGACTAGAACACGTGGTCTCCAGCTCTGCCCGCCGCAGCTGTCAAAAGGAGGGCTGAGAGAGGACAGCCAGATGGCTTGTCAGGCAGAGACACAGCTCATCTGGGGTTGCCCTGGGGACAAGAGGTGGCAGATGGATCACCTCTGCTTTCTTTTTAAAATATGCTTGGGAAAGGGACTCTCTGCAAAGCTGACATACATTGGGATGAGGAATTTTCCCAGCACCTGTTATTTAAGAATCTCTTGAGAGGAGCCCACACAGATGGCTCTATCTGCCCTCCTATCTCCCCAGCCCTGAGCAACCACAGAAAGACACCCCAGAATCCTAAAATGGACTCCCTGCATATAAAACAATCACTTAGCACGTTTTTCCAGAAGGGCAGAGAGAACCAACTGGGGACACTGGACTGGATTAGAAATTTTATAGCCAAGGTGACCTGGGCGAAGAGGCAGCAGAGCCACACTGCCTCCAGCAGGGAGTCACGTCCCTACTGTGCTTGCCGCAGGCCCCCGCAGAGCCTGGACTGGGCACTCTTGGCTCACCCCTGCACAAAGGTTCCATCCCCAATATGGATGATCTGAAGGCCTCCGAGGCCTCTAAGTGCAAACTATTCACTTTATCCTGAGGATATGGGAGCCACCTGGGCTGACCCGGCGTGACCAGTTCCAGGTCAGTCTCCTCGTGTCCTGGTTTTGACTCTTAAGAATGTCATTCTCTCTTTTAATGACCACCAGTAGGAAAGCAGGATGTACTTTTCTCCTTTGCTAAGTATTTCATTATAATGCTGAACATACTTTTCCAACTTCCCCTACTCCCGCCTGACCAGGAGAACGGGGTTGCACACTTGAAATCACCCAACACTCTGATGCTTCTGGAGTGGATCCAACAGGCCACCTACCCCCTCCACCCCAGTCATCTCCACAGCTGCTTACACCAGGGAAGGGTGATGGCAGGCGGCTGCCTTCCTCTAAGGCCTGCCGGTGAGTGACTGACAGGAGCTATTAATGGTCTGCATAGACTGGAGATGGGGGGAGGCCTGCAAAGGGGACAGGTCTGGGAGTCAGGGATGAGCTTCTCAACCTTGCCCTCCACCCTCCACACAGCCTCTGTTCCCCACTCACCATCACGGAGGCTGGAGACGCCCAGGGCCTGGGCAGTGTGCAGCGTTAGGCGGTTCTGTGCATCCTGGAGGTAGGCCATGACTGGCATGGGGTAGAAGTTGGCCTGCAGGGGCAGCTTCTTCAGATACCGCCGGGGCTGCACCTGTGGGGCAAGGCCAGCAGATCAGAGTGTCCGGGCGCTATCTGAGCCCCTTATCACTCTTGACTCCGATTCCTCCTCCTCTGTTGGTGGCAGACCACCCACCGGGGCCTGTGAAAGAGGCAGTAAACAGCTCAAGTTCTGCTCCACGGGGTCTCCCAGGCCCTGGCCATCACCTGGAAGCCGTTGAGGTCCGTGAAGAAGGTGCCCTGGCTGTGGATGTACGTCCGGATGCGCAGGGCCAGCTCCTTGTTGACGTAGTCCCGGATATCCACCAGTAATGACACGTCCAGAGACAGCCCCTCTACCCCTGGGCACAGGACAGCGGGAGGGGCCGAGTGGCGTGAGGGTGAGTCACAGCCCAATCCCAGGCAATTCCCAGCATTTCTGGACAACCTCTACTCTGAGAGAATTAGGTGTCATTCTTGTCTCCAATGATACATTTGTTGGGAACAGATGTGTGAACAGAGAATGGGCAGGAGGAAGAGCATGTCACAGCCCACAGAGCCCACACTTCCTTCCCAGCCTTCCTCATTGGCGAGGCTAACCTGGCAGGTTATAAAGCCGGACCACTTGGTGAACGTGCTCGTAGTAGGCAACCACCTCTGAGAAGAAAGGGCCCTCTGTGACGCGCAGCACAGGTGGGTCCTTGGGGACGTAGGGCTGGGGAAAAGAGCAAGTGGCAGCTGAACCCACAGCACGGAGTACAAAGCAGGGGGGTACCAGCCCATGGTCAGGCAGGACGTGTTCCCAGTAGGCTCTGGGCTGAGACCCGTGGCTGAGCCGGGCCCAGGCCCCCAGGTGGTATTCCTCAGCCCTCTACATCCACCAGGGGTAGCATGGGTGAGGCACCCCGGCAGGCTGGGGTCACCCTGGAGGAAGGCCCATGCCCTTCCTTATTGCCTCAGTTCACATCTCCTAGTGCCTTCTGCTCACGAGGCTCCCAGGGCCTGCTGGGGTGTGCAGTGTCTTTAGGGTACCTTAGCCTCGCCATCAGGCAGGAAGAGGTAGGCTCCACTCTTGTCTTTGGATGTGCGGGTGCCATAGATGAGGAATTCCATGTCTACCCGCTGCTCCTGCTCCTCGTCCACCCTTCGGATGCTCTGCCAAGAAACACAGCCCTGACCCCTGGCCCCACACCAGCATGTCAGGCTTGCCCCCTGGGAGGGCATGGGCGTATTTCCCCAAGGAGCCAAGCCCACTTCCCTGTGCTGTCAGCTCAGAACTGAGAAGGCCCGCTCCTGGGTCCACCCTCAGTCAGGTGGCAGCAGGCTTCCAGGCAGAGGCAGCTTGGCACGATCCCCCAGTATGCGTGCCCTCCTCTGGCTTCCAGCCCCTGGCCCTTTACCTTGAGGAGCCCAGTAAGGCCTGAGAACCAGACCTGCATGTAGCGGTTGCTAAGGGCAAAGTCGCTGGTGCCGGAGTCAATGACGCGCAGCGGGAAGGCCTCGTGCCTGCTGACGGACAGCTGCCGCCCGTGCAGGTAGATGCGCACAGAGGAGGGCATGGTGCGGGGCCCGTCCAGGCCCAGCTGCAGCTGCAGCACACCGAGGCCCAGGGCCGGCAGGCGGACGGGCAAAGACACCTGTGGGCATGGGAGCGGTGAGAAAGTGCGGGCCACGGCATGGGTGTCAGTTCTGGACGCAGGTCTGGGGTTCAGGCCCTGAGAGCCTGATCAAGTCCCTGTACCCACCAGGGCCTCTGTTGCCTCCACTGAAAGGGGAGGCGACATTCCTTGCCCCTTGTCAGACATTCACAAGTCTCAAAGAACATCTGAAAAACTATGAAATGGTAACCACACAGTAAGGTTTCAGTAAACATACGCTGAATGAACAAATGAGGGGGCAACATAATCGACACTTTTACCATCATCACAGTATCCCAAACTTCACCTTCCTCTCAAGGACAGACTCAAATCCCAGGAATGACTGTCCTCGGGGCAACCCCTCTCCCCAGGACTCCTGTCCCCAGCCTGGGGAGTAAGAGGGCCACAAGCAGGAGGGTGGGAAGCTGGTGTAGAAGGGCAGAGTGAGGCCCCAGGGAGAGGCCAAGGATCAGCACACAAGGCCGAGGTCGGGCCCCACCTGGTAGACATCAGGGGCCATGTCAGTGGCAGAGTTCCAGTGTGCGCTGATCTGCACAGCCAAGGGCTGACCCTCCTCTGAAAGGACCCGCACCCGGGGTGAGCTGACCAGCAGGGACACCACGCTGAGCCGCTCCTGTTCCAGTGGGTTGAATAGCACCACATACCTGTGGGTAGAAGGTAGACTCACCCAGGAGGCCACTGCTCTGGGGCAGTGGAAGCTGGAACGGCAGCCAGGCCAAGAGTCCCTTGATGGTTCAGCAGGTGCGGGGGTGGGAGGGTGCCTAGAGCCAGGGAGGGACTGCCTCTGTGCTTGGCATGGCTCACCTGGGTGAGGAGTCCAGCTGGATCACTGTACGCTCTGGTAGTGCATCATGATTTAAGCGAGTGTCATCCTGGAATGAAGCGGTTGGGAAGGGAAGAACCATCATGGGGCTCAGCCCGACTTGGAGTCTTGCTTCCCCCGCCCCCCACCTGTCCTAGACGTGGACCACCAGCTGGGCTGGGCACAGATCTTTCACCCCAGGACCAGGAAGGAAAAGGAGCAACACCTTCATACCACAGCTCTTGGCACAGGACTGCACACACCAGAGGGTCCCCCTGAGCAGCTGCAGAAGCGGGGCTCACCATTTGGAGGAAGGGCGCTTCAGGGTCAAAGTGGTAGGTTTCCTTGTCCCCCAGCACCAGATAGTGAGCTGCATTAATGATGACCTGCTTCAGGTTGACAAGGGAGCGCAGAAGCCTGGGAGGGCGGGCAGGAGAGGGACCATGGGAGAGATGACCACCAAGAGGCTGTCCACCTGCCAGCAGGACGAGCTCTTGGTGCATCCTCCTTTTGGGAATCATGGGCAGAGGCTTGGAGCTGATGGGAAAGAGAAAAGGGCTCCCACCTGACCCCATAGTCCACCACTACTGCCTCCTTGGCAGTGCCAGTGATGGCGTCGTGGTGCTGGAACAGCCCCAGTGTGCGCCGAGCTTCTGTCAGAAGAGCGAAGTTCGAGAGCGGGTACTGGCTTGCCAGTCCGGAGCGGCGAGCGTGAGCTACAGCCAGGCTGTACAGAATCTCTGCCCCCCTGCCCAGAGAGAGAAGTCAGCCTCCTGCCCACACAGCTCCCCGGGGCCACCCTCACGCTGCAAGCCCTGCTCCTCTTCCTCCCACCCCTTCTCCACCTGTCTTGGTCTCCATGCCCTTTTAGTCCCTTCTGAGCCAATCCAGCCCTTCCTTAAACCCCAAAGGCTTACTCTACTCACTCCAGCTTGGAGTGGGGGCAGGTCTCACCGCAGGTGGGCTTCCAGGACGCGGTCCAGGCTCTTGTAGAAAGGCCGGGAAGTGTAATAGCCTGTCCAGTAATGGTCCTCCCGGTCCGCGTAGGAGAAGAAATCCCCGCTCAGCACAGGAAAACCTGGAGGCCGGGCCCCTGGCTCCACCCCTGTCCTCTTGTATAGAGCGTCAAAATAGTCAGAGAGGGTGCCAAACTGGGCCTGTGGGGACCCCAAAAACCCGCTTCCATCAGTTTTAGAGTCTGCTGATAGTTGTGGCTCCCAATACTGTGGCTGGGGGCTAAGGGCAGGGATTTTGCCTACGCAGAGGGCAGTCACGGTACATCCTATCCTTCTGGGACTCACAGAAGCTGGGGAGCCTGGGAAAGAACTGTGACACAAAAGGGAAATCTTGCTCCAGAATTGGGAACAAACCCTTGCTTTGGAGTGGTAACACGGAGCACGAAACCTCACAGGAAGGGCTGGGCTGCAGCACCACTGAGGCCCCTCCCCAGCTCAGCAGCCCCTCACACCTGCACATGGAGGTCAGTCTTGCTGTTGAGGAAGTCAAAGAGCCGCTGGTAGTTGAAGAACTGGGCATCCCACTCGTGGGGCTTGTCGTATCGGAAGTCATCGCCCAGTGGCACCAGGAGGACGTTGCTTCGGAACAGCCGGGACTTCTTCCTGTACTGGTCCAGGAGCAGGCCTGCCCTGTGGGTGGGGAGGGGAATGGGCCCAGCGTGAAGTCTCGGTCGCACAGGATCAGGAGCAGAGCCAGCATGAAGGAAGCCCTCTGATACATCCTCATCACGGAGTCACTCAGTTTGTGGGCAGATACCTTACAGGGTGGGAAGCCCAGTCCCAGGGAGCTCAGTGTTCTCTGGACAACTGGAGAGTTCTTCCTGATGCATGGCTTCAACTCCCTGGCCCCAGTTCTGCCCGTGGACACCACACAGAACAAATCGGTCCTCCCTCCCCGTGACTGTCCTTCAGACATATAAAAGATATGTTCACATTCCCTGTGCTTTCTCATCAGGCTCCACCATGCCAGCTCCTCCAGCTATTTGGTCCCTACACAGTGGTTTAGAATCCACTCACAAGCAGTTCTCTGAGCAGCCCATCTGCCAGGATCCCAGAGTGCGGGGCCCAGCGCTGAATATGGGAGTCCAGGGTGGGCTGACCCGCCAAGGCAAGACAGGCCACACACCTCCAATCTGGCCAGAGCCACCCTGGGAGCAGTGTAAGTACACAGGCGTTTGGCAGCCCCCACCATGCTGACATCAGTGACCATGTTTCCCGTGCACGGAGCCCAGCAAG